CTATTTTTCTGACTTTAACTTATCTTTAATATCTAAATAAGTTCGACCTTCCGATAACGCTAACCCAAGATAATAAGAACGTGCGCAGCATCCAAATCTTCGTCGTGCGACACTGTGGAAGAAGCTTTCCTCGTCTAAACAAACTGAATTAAATTCGTAATACTCGCGTTACGGCGAACAATTGTCTAACGTTTAAGAAAAGGCTTAAACTGTCTGAATGGTATTAGAAAATGAAGCGATAATATAAGTAGAATATAATACAGTAGACATGGTTTTCATAAATATGTAAATGGTGAAAAGATGGTCTATCGTATTAACGGATAATGTGAATTCAGATAAAAGAAGACTTTGTCGAGTAGTCAGGCCATTGTTTGCTTGCCAACAGCAATATACTCGACGACATCGACGACGAAAAAGAAAGCGGCTCTCTCATCGTCATCGTTAATCCTCTGAATGTGCCGTAACTCATATGTTATTCGTTATATTATTTTTAGAATTTTGCGTTGATGTTTTTTTTTTGGGGGGGGGGGGGTGAACGCGTCACCGATTATTATCTCGCGTCATAAGATTTAAATTATACAAACGTAAATATCATACATAAACATTAGAAGGAAATTGTACGACCAGAATTCTAGGATTAGAATTATAGAACAAATGTATTGAAACTGTCTGTATCGATTTTTACGATTGAGCGCGTGTTGATTTCATTTAACGTTCTTTAATTTCTAGAGAAACTCGAGAAACTCTTGTTGAGTCTCTCGAAACGTGCCGCGAACAATCTCGTTTTATGACGGACGATTCAGCTTGCGAATCTGTACGTTTCGGAGGATAAACCACCCGTACAAATAATGCCTCTATTGTAATCGCCGGTTTCTAAACCTCAGGTTTGCAAATAAACAGTAGCCGAATGTGTATGTCTGGTCTGAATACTTCTCAGTTTCGGAAAAGTGTTGAAACCTGTAGTGAAAATTGCAATAAACATTTCTGGCAAATAATCGCAAGCCACTTTTACCATTTTACACAATCGGCGAAACAGGAAAATTTTCTAGATGTTGTTGGCCCAAGTACAAATGATTTTGTTCGTGCACATCTACAATGAAAGTTTTTTTCCCTTTTATGCTCGAACTTCCGTACTACAGAAATCAAAAAGATCATAGTATGACAAAAACGTAAATTTAATTAAATGAAACTTCGAGCAACAAGTAGTAACAGAAGCGAACAAATTTCAAAATATGCTTCGCCACTGTGATTAACTAACTATTTAACGCGCGTTTGATATAAAAATAGTGGCAAGGGTGATTCCCTCATGACTTTGCGTCAAAGTACGCACGATATCGCGGGTCATTTCGTTCACCCATCGACAGCATCGACGTACCACGAATAACGACAAAGTGCATAGGTCATTAACGATGTAGGTAACAAAGCTGAGCGATGCTTTACCTCGTCGAAATAAAAAAAGAAAAAAAGAATAATAAAGTTAGAAGATTTCGAACTTGGAAGTTCTAGAGAGATGTTCAATCGACAATCACACATTTCCGCGTGTCTGATAAACAACCCCATTTCGTGGAATTGTAGCTTATTGGAACGTTCATTGTCAGTCGCGTTGATTCCTAATCTGTATCGTTAGTTGAACATCCATCGTGCTCTTTTCTTTCGAAGTTTGTCTTGAAAATTTATAAGAAAAACTACGACCGTGGTGACAATATGACAGAATAGCAAGCAACGTATCGTTTTCTATATTTATGCAAAATTGAAGTAAAGCGAAAGACTTGAAATACTTTCGAGTAACTTAAACAACTTCAAATTCTTCTTGAACTCAACAAAAAGTAGTTAAAATAAAAGCAATCTGGTGATTATCAATTGTGCTGTAGTTGATCAGTTTCATCCGCCTGGAGAACACTCGCGGTCAGTTTGCGACTGATTTCGAGTAACGAGATCTGCCAAGGGAGTTGATTTACCCTAAGTGAGTCGTCATTTTTCCGAAAGAACGCAACACGATAGGAAAATGTTTCGTCGATTTTTTTTTGTAGAACTCGTGCGATCTCGCAAGTACGAGCAATCCTCAATATAGAGATGCATAGGAAGGGAAGGAATACGGGGCGATAATAGGTACACATAGCGAGAGTCGTTGTCGGGGAGCGCTGACCGCAGAGATAACGCTTTGACCCGTTACAAGCTTCAAGCACGAAATGAATGCCTTCACTGTCTCTTCCCAAGTCGGACCCAATCCAAATATGTAGCCCTTTTTCTTGCCAGCCTGCCCTTTATTAACCGTTGCCACCGTTCTCCTGTAAATTCGACATGCTCCACCTTGAACCGTGCCATCCACATCGGCGCTTTTACGATACGAAACCCGCGTGTGCGAACAGCTCGTAGCTTTCTTCGAAGAGCTTCCAAAGAGATTGTAAACATCAGTTTGTAAATAATAAATATTCGCTTGGAATAATTCTAAGATTTCTTTCCTTGATATACATACATTTACTTCGAGATATTTCGTCCAACGAATAAAGTGATCTTTATTTCGGCCGGCAAACTCGCCGAGTACAGCAAGTAAACTGACACAGTTGTGATAACATGTAAATATTGTTTCAGAATTATCAACGGCCGCGTCCACACAACAATCGGAAGTAATAGTGAGGCTATTGCCTATCAACGGCAATACCGTGATCACTGGATGCAAAGACCGCCCACAAATTTGTGGGAAAGAGGCGGCTTGTCGTAGCTTCAAGGACAACACGTCGAAATGCGTTTGCCCTCACGATCTGTCAGCACCGACGACAGACCTAAAATGCCCAAATCGTCTAATAGGTCAGAGTCAAGCGCAATTTTCTGTATTTCTCTTTTTTTTTTTTTCCTTCGAAAATAATATTTCTATTGTTCGACGGTCGTTGTATGGTTGTACGTTAGAAAAAACGCACGGAATTACATTCTAAAACGCCGAGAGAGAAGCCACTTTATCAGCAAGCAAGCTTCTACAGCTTAAAATGGAAAAAGATGTTGAAGTATGTCGGTTTCTAAAAAAAGATCAAAAGTCACCTTGACTTTCCTGGAATGAAATTATGTTTTCCTTTCTTCATCTTCTCGTGTCGGAATAAATCACTCCACTTTCGACTCTGAACCAAATTTACACGTCCATCGTTCTTCCGTTCCATCGTCGTATAAAATCGGAAGAAACTTGCCTTTAACAGGAAGAACCGTTGCCTGCTTGAATTCCGTTTCTTACGTGATTCGTTTCCCCTTGAATTTATTCTTTCGTAACAAACGAAACGTACGAAGATCATTTCATTCGTTAACAAAAAAAAAAGAAAAACAAGCTTAACTTCTTCAACGTTTTGTAAATATTAAACGAACGAAATTCGTCTCTACAAATATGATTTTTAATTGCTTTTTCTAGTTCCCCTAACACCTCGACCTATACCTAATATAATACCCCCAAATGGTAATTCTACCAACAGCACGACTGCACTCCCAGAAGCTGAACAGGTAATTACTTCAAATTACTGTCTTCAATGTCATTCGTTAGTCTTTAGATACTTATACAATCCTCTACAAACATAGTTTGTAGTATATTCATATTGTTCAACAGGTAGAGCGGGCGAGACAACGAGTACCTGAAATAATAGGAATCGCCATAGCTTTCGTCACGGTATTAGCAATATTGTTGAGTATAGTCTACTGCGTGAAGAAACGGAGTTACAACGTGAAGTCACAAAGGAATTCCCTGGATGTACGTCAATCAAATAATAATATTGCAGGAGCTTTTCAAAGCTAACGTAACACTTTTAGACACAGTTGTTTGAAAAAAACAAACAGAATATTCTCGGTTAATTAAAAAAAAAAAAAAAA